TCTGACAGGTGCGAGATGGTACCTCATTGTTGTTTTGATTTGCATCTCTCGGATGATTAGTGACTTTGAGCATGTTTTCATATGTCTCTTGGCTTTCTGAATGTCCTCTTTTGAAAGGTGTCTATTAAAATGCTTTTGTTGTGGTGGTTCTTGTATGTATGACAAAATATCCAAAATCCTTTAAAAATAATAAAAACATGATTGTCTAACTACTGTGCTGTACACCTGAAACTAATGTAAAATAATAATGAATATAAACTGTTAAAATAAAATTTAAAGTTCTCTTTTTTAAAAAAAAACAACACACCTTAATTGAGATAATGCTGATAACCATAGCTATTAAGTAACTTTCCCAAGGTCACCAAAGAAGTGGAGGAGAGATGTAGACCCAGATTCGTGCCCTGCTGTTGTCTTCCCTGCTAATACACACTTCTCCCCTAGCAATCGACCAGTGGAGCTGATTAAAACGGTGGCTCTTCCGGGCATATGCAGACTGAATCAATGCTCTGACAGATCCATGGATAGGACAAGCACTGCGTCCTCCCTATGTTCCCGCATCACAATGCTTGTCTTGCTATACCCTTTGCTTCCTTATTTATCGTCTCTGTGAGGGCCACAGCTGCACCTTGTTTATTTCTATATCTTTAGCACAAAGCCTTGGGCTTGGCATTACACTTAATACAATTTTGTTGAATAGAAAAAGAATGAATAGACAGACAAGCCTTAAAGTACAGGCTATTTTGGCGTGGCTCACAGTGGTGTTTTAGGTGTGTTTAACGTGGTATGTTGTAAGCAAGCATGGAGTCTACAAATTGGAACTTTCTATTTTAAGGGTTATACTGGGAATCATTCCATGGAATCAGACAGGAGCTGACCAAATTTATAAATACGAGCAAGCTCCTGAGGTAATATATAAATTATCTCACTTAATTCTCACAGCAGTCCTCTGAAGTAGGTGTCATTGGTTACACTTTACAGAAGGTAGCCTTGTTTTTCCTATCCTAGGGACAACACTGCTTGCCATAAAACTTTACTTTACATCTGGAAAGTTTTGCCATACGATTTTTTGCTCTCTAAGAAAGCATTTATTTAAGACCTATCATATGTTGGACAGAAAAGATACTAAGACAGCTACCTCCTGGTTAATTCCATTCTGTAATCATTAAGAACAGATTCGCCAAATAACTGAAAATAAAATACTTCTCTCAGTTACCACTGGACTTCATTCCTTTCTTCTTCTTTCTACTATTGTCACATGTTTCTATAGGTGTCGAGATTATTGTTACTTTTCCAAGAGACGTCCATCATGCCCAAGAGATGAGCCAAGAAGATTTCAAAGAAAGCAAGTAAGGAATATTCTTTGAAGTGTTAGGACAAAATTTAAGTATGAAATGATATTTGCATGACAACCTACATTTTTAGGAAGACCACTAAAAAGAAGAAAATAATTGCCTGAAAGCAGGAATCATAATAAATATTACTGTGGCAGGGCCCAGGTAAATGTGTGTGGGCCCTATGGTTTCTGTTGCAATGATTCGGCTCTGCAGTTGTATCTTGACCGCAGCCATAGCCGATTTGAAAACAGCCAGATGTAGCTGTGATCTCATAAAACTAGGAAAACAGACGGGCAGCCATGGTTTGCTTTCCCTGCACCAGAGCTGCTTGAACTGTGGTCTGTGGTCCTTCTGTTACTAGTCCACGACGAAGTCAGTATAAACTCGAAAATTTAAACACTTAAAAAGTTGTATAGCAATTTCACAAAGTCATGTTATGTTCAAGGATCTGATAACGAAAAAAAAGATCTCATAAAACTAGGAAAACAGACGGGCAGCCATGGTTTGCTTTCCCTGCACCAGAGCTGCTTGAACTGTGGTCTGTGGTCCTTCTGTTACTAGTCCACGACGAAGTCAGTATAAACTCGAAAATTTAAACACTTAAAAAGTTGTATAGCAATTTCACAAAGTCATGTTATGTTCAAGGATCTGATAACAAAACAAAAAAAAGGGGGCTTCTTTTTAATTTTTCATTTCTTTTTTATAGTAATTCACTTTTTGTGTGTGTTAATTCTCACCCAAGGGTATTTTTTTCCATTGATTTTTAGAGAGAGTGGAAGAGAGGGAGGGAAGAAAGGAGAAATAGAGAGAGATTGATGTGAGAGAGACACATTGATTGGTTGGTAGAGATTGAACCTGCAACCCAGGTCTGTGCCCTTGACCAGGAATCAAACCTGAGACCCTTTGGTGCACAGGCCAATGCTCTAACCACAGAGAACACTGACCAGGGCTGTAGAAATTCACTTTTATTACATTTTACATAAGTTTCAGTCCACAATAGGCTGGAAAGTTTAAGCACCGATCCTTCACCAAAAACAGATTGAGAAGGACTGGCTGGTTAATGCCAGTCCTTTGGAGAAGTAAAAGGGTGCCCTTGGCCACTCTGATTTCTCTGCTCAAAATAGGGACTGGGAAAACTCAAGTGTGGGTGCAGAGGGCAGGCGGGTGGGGAGAAAGTTGAAGGGTGGGGAGGTCTTGTCCTTTCAGGAACGCAGCCATCCTACTCAGCAGCACCGTCTGGAAATGGTTCTCCAAAGTTTCTAGTGATGTCAGGCTGGACTGAGAACCGGAGATCCGGAAGACATGGGGAAGGAGTTTTAAATCAATCCATTTCCTCCCCCTTTTAGTCAGATAACCTCAGAGCATCAAGAATGGGCACAAGCACCTTCTGTTCCTCTTCCAAATGAAATTGAGATGATGGACTTCGGAACAAAGATGCCAACCACACAGCCTTTTCTCCTGGAGACAGAAGAAAGCCCCAAGGAGCTCTGCGATGAGAACCTGGTCTTGTTACCAAGACCTTGCTTAGAACCCCACATCTCCAAGTCTGTAGCCAGAGATGTGCCTCACCCTCTGAGAGGCCAGCAGAGAAAATCTGAAGGTGAGTCCACAGATTTAAATGCACAGCGATTCCTTTATCCATATATATATATAATTGATTTTTTACAGAGAGGAAGGGAGAAGGAGAGGGATAGAGAGTTAGAAACATCGATGAGAGAGAGACATCGATTCAGCTGCCTCCTACACACCCCCCACTTGGGATGTGCCCGCAACCAAGGTACATGCCTTTGACCGGAATCGAACCTGGGACCCTTGAGTTCGCAGGCCGACGCTCTATCCGCTGAGCCAAACCGGTCAGGGCCCTTTATCCTTCATTTAACAAATGTTTATTTATCTTTTTCCTGAGGGTTGGAAGATCTTTCCTGTGAACTCATGCTTGCTTGATGTTTATCTGTGGGAACCTTGGGGTCCACGCTGAGGATGCTTTTCTGCAGGAGCTGAGTTTCCCACTCTCTCCAGCTCCAGACTCATTGCCTTAGTGCAGTGGTCGGCAAACCGTGGCTTGCGAGCCACATGCGGCTCTTTGGCCCCTTGAGTGTGGCTCTTCCACAAAATACCACGTGCGGGCGTGCATGTACAGTGCGAAGTTGACTTAAAACTTTAAGTAAAGTTTATTAAGTTAATTTTAGGGAACGTTGTGGAGTGAAAGAAGATGTAGTGTCGAGGATTGAGAACGGTATGTTGAGATGGTTTGGACATATAGAGAGGATGAATGAAAGGAGATAGACGAAACAAGTATACAAGACGAGTGTGGATGGGAGAGTTGGAAGGGGTCGACCTCAGCGAACGTACCTCAATCAGATTGAGGATGTTTTTAGCAAAGGCCAGCTTAGGAGTACCCTAATTACGTTAATAACAATGTACCTACCTATGTAGTTTAAGTTTAAAAATTTTGGCTCTCAAAAGAAATTTCAATTGTTGTACTGTTGATATTTGACTCTGTTGACTAATGAGTTTGCCGACCACTGCCTTAGGGCAGTGCTGTCTTTGCTATTTGCTTTCCACTGTCTTGAGACAATCGGCCAACCACCTGGGACAAACATGTCATCCAAAAACTACATTTATCGGCTTATTATAATGAAGGAGATGGCACAGCATGCGAACTGTGAGGCATTGCACCAAGCAAAGGGGAGATAAAATTATAAGATTTAGGGGGCTGGGTAGAGCATTAGTGAATTTTAACTCAAGCAGTATTTTATTACAATTAAAATTGTTTTATTGTGGTAAAATGTATATAACTTAAAAGTTACCATTTTAACTATTTTAAGTGTACAGTTTAGTGTCATTAAGTGCATTCACATTGTTGTGCAACCATCCCCAGAATTTTTTCATCTGGCAAAACTGACACACTCTACCGATTGAACTCTGTAACTCCTGTTCTCCCCTGCTCCGTAACCCCGGTAGCCGTTCTGCTTTCTGTCTCTATGAATTTGAATATGCTAGGTACTTCATGTAAGTGGAATCATACAATTCTTGTCCTTTCGTGTCTGGCTTATCTCAGTTACCATAATGTTGAAGCAGTGTTCGGACAGGCTGTACGCAAGGGTGTCCACATCAGGTCTGGACTGTAAAGTAGACCCAGAGTCTTCTTCCTTAAAACCAGCAAAGTTAATTCCAGCTCTCAGCAGCCTCGCTTCAGCCTCCGATCCTGCCTCTCGTCCTCAGCAGCATGATAAGCAGCACTAAACGCCTTCCAGTCCCAGGACAAATAGGGAAATATTTGCACGTTCTGTTTCTTTTCCTGCTGGGACATTATGCCATCCTTCAGGTGACACCCGAGATACCACTTCCTCTGGAACGTCTTCCAGAACTTTCTGAAGACTGGAGGCGTCACCATTCCTTTCTACTCCCATAGGCCTGATCGGCTACACAACACTCGTCATGTTCAATTCTCACCATTTGTTTATATGTCTGCCTTCACCAGATCACAAAGCCGAAAACCACCACACCTTCAAGCACCTGGCACCAGGCCTGGCGCATAATTATTTAAAAATGTGTATTGAGTTAATAACAACAATAACCATTTATTGAGTGTCGACTATTGCAAGGCACAGACACGCACTGATGTAGGTAATATCGCATCCTTGTTTTAGAAATGAGGAAACGGAGCCCCGGACGCCTGAGAGTGGGCCCAGGTCACACAGCCAGGGAATTACAGAGGCTGGGCTCCAACCTGGACCACCTGTCTCTGAAGCCGATGCGCTTAAGCGTCTTTCCGTCTGTGTTCAGGCTCATCCCTTCCATCTGAGTCCCTCTTCAGTTACGAGTAAAGGAAAGGATAGACATAGTTAGTCTTGTAGTGGAGAGGGTTTAGGGAAAAGGAGGGGCAGTGAGTTGGGGCAGGTACAGACTGGCGGGAGTGTGGATGGAGAGACTGAATTGGCCATCGTGGACACACCTCTTCTCCCGGCCACACCACAGGGAACCTTGAAGGTGTAACAGAAGTAACTGCACACACCAGACAGCACACTTGGTTAGGTCAGTATCTTAGTGGAAGCTGCTTATCTGAAAATGTCAGCTGCGGTTCCCCAGGCTGGTCCTCGCCTCCAGCCTTTTTAAAATTTGTTTAAATGCAATTTTAAAAATTAGGCAATCAATATATGTTGATTAAGAAAAATGCAGATTTTAACTATTTGTGAGTCTGGCAAGCCATTACATTTCCAACAAGGGATGGAAAGCCAATTCCTGTGACTATATTTATAAAGCAATAGATTCAAAAGACTCATACGAGACCCTAATGCCAAGCTTATCCCAGTGTTTTATTAACTTTTTATAAAACCCCCTCACTTAAAGCTACTCCTATAAATGTTTTATTTGTGCAGTCACAAGAATCTAATCAAAAGGAAAACTACTCTTTTACTTCTTTTTGGTAAAGAGACTAACATTTCTACATAAATGGAAATGGAAAAACTTAATAACATCTTGGGATCTATATTTCTTGCTCTGACATTTCAATTGCTTCACTATTATTAGAGTATCTTTATTAAAAATTTCAATTTGTGCTAATAATAAGGAGACCTTTAAAATGTTCTTCAGTAAGTCCATCTCAGAACGTGTTTTTAATATTTTTAAGTGCTGGAGAAAAACACTTTTATTTGGAGTTGAAAGCAAGTTATAATTAATCACTGATCCAAATAAATAAGATATGATGTACATAAAAAAAAAAAAAGAAAAATGCAGGAAAGGCAGATGAGCAAATTAAAAACTAAAAAGCACCAATAGTATTCCAAGACCATTTCTCCTAGAATGTACTTCCATACTTCAAGATAACATGTTTATCATGATCTTGCTTGATCATTCCATTTACACCGTAGCTATGAGAATTTAACACTTTCACATTACTGTCCTCACACATGGGCAAGCCCCAATCTTCTCAACCTTTGTATTGAAAAGAAATCAACACTGGGTGTGTCCATTGTTGTGACTGGGGAAATACTGGTTACAGCTGAGCTCACTCGTGCGCTGTGATTATGTTTTCCTCCTGCTGAGACATGGAGTTTATTACAGTGCTGCTGAAGGCCCCGTTTCCGTATTCGCTTCCTTCTTTCTCTCTTCTCTCTCTCTCTCTCTCTCTCTCTCTCTATATATATATATATATAATTGATTTTTTTCAGAGAGGAAGGGAGAGGGATAGAGAGTTAGAAACATTGATGAGAGAGAAACATCGATCAGCTGCCTCCTGCACACCCCCCACTGGGGATGTGCCCGCAACCAAGGTACATGCCCTTGACCGGAATCGAACCTGGGACCCTTCAGTCCGCAGGCTGACGACGCTCCATCCACTGAGCCAAACCAGTCAGGGCCGTATTCGCTTCCTTTCTGTGTACCCATGCTAATCCCTCCCGGTGCTGGCTGATGGACTGTAAAACGCACCTCAGCTCAGGCACTTGCAAGGCGGGTCATCGGCTGGTTAGTGTTTCTGAAGACATTGCCCTGGAACCCTCTGCCCACCTCTTTCATTCTGTGTTGCTTGGTCTTTGGCCCCACGGACCAGCTCTCTGCCTGGGGTTCCCTCACCACCGTCCTTGGCCTCCCGCTGCCGTGGATGCCTGCGTCCTGGATACTCAGCGCCCTCCTCCTGGTTTGCTCCCTCCTTTCAGGGGGCACATTTCCAGTAGCTCCCTGAGGACAGTGCAGTAAGAACAGTTTTCATTGCCCCTGATCCTCTGAGCTCTTTCCTTCCTTGCAGTCTGTTTTATTCTCTGTATTTTCACGTTAGAGGCGTTCCTTGCATAGCCATTGCCAGGCGGGGCGGGTGGGGTGGGGGCTCCAGTGTCAGCGCGCACAGGGCTCCTCCCGGTGAGTGTCCCTGGAGAGGGATTGTCCCTGGAGAGGGATTGTCCCTGGAGAGGGATTGTCCAGGCGCCTGCCCAGAGTTGTGAGGCGGCTTCACCTGCAGTGGGCGGCTGTCATCCCATCCTCTTATCTTCCCCCAAGAACCCATGTCTGCTCTCAGCTGCTCCTCGCTCCTTGGCGTCTTTGTGCCAAGCTCTCCAGAGGGTCACGCTCCCGCCGCCAGCCAGGGCCCGAGCAGCTCCTGATGGTGGGCAGGGCATGGAGTCTGGAACCTCCTCCGACGCAGACGTACATGCAATCCCTTGTTTCAGCCTCCGCTCTCCTCACCTTCGGAGGTACCGTGTCTTCAGGGCCTGCTCCTTGTTCTTATTTCTCTCCCAGTTCTTCCCTCTGCAGGCAGTGAGCAGGATAGAGAAAGCTGGCAACTCATCGATTATTATTCACCCATACGGGTTTCACTGTCCGAAATTTTGTTGATGTTGCTCATCTGCTGTTTTGTCCTCAGGGTTTTTGTTGTTCTTATTCACGCCTTTTAAAATTTCTTTGCTATCGTTTTAGTGAGGTTTGTGAGGAGTGTGGAGAGAAGTTTATATGTTCAACCTTTTAACTGGAATTCTATATACATTTTTAAAAATAGATTTTTATAGATTTTTTTTTTTTTACAGAGAGGAAAGGAAAGGGGTAGAGAGTTAGAAACATTGATGAGAGAAACATCAATCAGCTGCCCCCCGCACGCCCCCTACTGGGGATCAAGCCCGCAACCAAGGTACATGCCCTTGACTGAAATTGAACCCGGGACCCTTCAGTCCGCTGGCCATTGCTCTATCCACTGAGCCAAACCGGTCAGGGCTGGAACTCTATATACATTTTAGAAGGTTTTCAAATTACCTACCGCAAAGGTCTTATGTCTGCATTCTCACCTGAGTGTTTGAGTGCCCTTCTACCTCATGTCATTCCTTACCAACACTGGATACTATTTATCCAAATATTTATAATAATACCTGAAAGGTTTCTTAACTCAGGAAGCTATGCATATGAACCCACTATAAATTGTATTCAGTTGTATTTCTGGTATTAAGTTGTAGAATCTTTTCAGTAGAAAAATCTCAACCTCTAGAATATGACCTCTATGAGGGCAAGGAATTTGTCTTTGTTGTACACAACTATGTTGCCATCTTCTGGGACAATGTTGGCCACTCAGTAGGCACTCGATATTTGTTGAATTAGTGCATAAAGAATTGGGGGAGGTGCCTTGGCCAGCTGTGGCTGAGGGGAGTGCCCGTGCCCCTCCAATGGGATCCTCATCTTAGGTGACCATTTTCCACCTGAGAATGGCTTCTTGACCTGCCTTACATCGTAAAGAGGTCTGTTTCTAAGTGAAATTTCAAGTGGTAGCTGTGGCTAAAAGGACCCACAGACCTTCAAAGCATTAAAAAAAAAGGGGGGGGGTGAGGGGGGTGCTGGGAGGGAGATTTCACATAAAGTCTCCAGCTTTCTTGACAATGGAGATCTCGCAGAGATGGATTCCCCATCTGGCATGGACAGCACCAACTAGGACTTGGCAATGGGTGGCCCATTAGCTGGGGCATGTGACTTCAGCCGACCACTGTCCCCACCTGTCACTTCACTCAGGTGTGTGAGCTGCTGTGACTCTGGACACGCTGGCACTTTCGGCTTCAGCGTCAAGCTGTGGCGGTGGGTGGGGTTTGGGGGACCAAGCCTAGAAGACAACAACTAGGCTTCAACTACCTAGTCAACCCCGTCTCCCCCTGCCACACAGCTCCCCTTCAGAACTTCTGATGGATGCCAAGTATGAGTTCAAACAACAGTTGGGAGACGATTATACATGAACGTTTTGACATTTCTGCACAGCCCAGGCTTTCTGAGCAAAAGGCACTAGGAAACTAGGTTGCAAGATGATTGAATGATAAACGGGTCTTAACCATTAGAGAGAGTGTGCTGCTCCAGGGAGATTCAGACTTGTTTCCTCAGGGGCTGTTGGCTCACCTTCTAGGGCAATAAAGCCCAGAGACCACTCCCCCTTTCTCCTGGAGACAGTTGCTTACATTTCTCGGGAGGGAAAGATGAGTCGAAGTGCCAAACACTCTGTATAAACTCTGAGTCTTGATTTCTGTGCTCATTCCGGTGGTGCAATGTGCAGGTAAACACCTGCTCTCAGTGCGTGGCCCTGTTGGAACTGGTGCTGTGATGCCCTGTGAGTAACAAATGCTCTGTCCTCTGGTCCAGAGATCTCGTGTTTCCTGCCAGGATGTAAATATAAACATATATCCACATACATTTATACAAATGTTATATATAAGACATATATATATAACATACATGTATGGGAAATAATATTATCTATAAAACAACAACTCCCTCTAGTGGAAGTAGCCTAAAACCATACCCCCTTCCACATGGATTACAGCTGGAATAACTCTCAATTTTGACTTTTTCAAACCCCAGCACCAAGATGACTCCATACCCAAACTCTGGTATGAGGCTGACTGTGTTCACTCTACTACTAAGAATATCTAACTTCTATTAAATGTTCTTGTTGTAGAGTTTTCTGCCTCTGATATGAAGTACAGTAGCCGAAGAATTGAGGTAAGATTAGTTTTAGTGTTATTGACTTAAGGATTAACACCAAAGAACTTTTGTTGTTGGAGAAAAACTCTATCTAAGAACTCAAAACCAAATTTCTCAGCAGTTATTTCTTGGAAAAACGACAATTCACATATAGTTTATAGAGTAGCAAATAATTTCTGGGTAAATTGTACCTTGCCTTGTATATTCTTTTTCTAGGGTGTTTCCTGTTCTCTAGATAACGACATGAGGAGCTCTCTTAGACATATTTAAATTTGTCTTCTTAAAACATATCTAGAAATTAGGTCATTCTTATTTCCAGTGGCAGAAAGATTTGCCTAGTTATCTAATATATCAAAGAAGCATTTGGAAAGATCCTTGCAATTCTCTCAACTGTCTAACTCTTCTGTATCCAGGAGCCATTGAGAAAATGCCTAGGTACTGCTCATTGTTGTAAAAGGGGTTTATTGACCAAAAAATATGGCTGCTCTTAGGAAGATGTTTAAGCACTAGGAGAATCTGTCTTTATTTCCTGTTATTTTTTTAGAGATGGTAGAAAATCATCAATAAAACTAGGGGATTATACTGCATCTCGCCCAGTTCTAAAGCTTAATTAAATGTCTGGTGTCAGGGTCCTTTCCTTTTCCTTTCCTCTTAAACACAGGTGGCAACAGAATGACAATGAAACATACAGCTCTCAATTGCCACTCAAGATCCAGCCCACAAATATTCTGCTGCAATTAGGTATTAAATCTGTATACACAAGAGAAGGACTCAATGAATAGAAGCACGGAGTTTAAGAGTTTATAGCTTAATGACCTGAACACTGAACAGTATATATTGGGTTACACTGACCTCTAGAGGTTGATAATAACAAAGACTAGCTTATTTTGAAACTACTTGTAGGGCAAAGGAGAATTAAAAACCATCAGGGTTGCTAACTTTCAAGTAGATAGTGTAGCCCATTTAAAGCCACCCTCAACAAAACAGTTCAGCAAAACAATGAGGAGTAGTTGTGTTCTGGATACAAATTCTGAGTTAGTCTGTAATTCATTGTTAAAGTAAGTGTTAACAGCAATTTTAAGCTATTCTAAGTGGAAATTTTTTTAAAAATCTTAGATCAATTCTTTGGAAAATAAAGAGAAAGAAGGAGAGAAATAAAATGTCTCATCTTATATTTTAATGCTTACCTTATAGGGCCCTTCTTTTAAATATAGAACCATGAATCTTTATGATAATCTTGGTTTTTTAAAGTATTGTTTTACCTTGGTTCTAAAAAAAACAACAACACTGAAATGAGCTTTTAGTGTTTGTTTGTTTGTTTGTTTGTTTGTTTTTAACTTGGAGGAAAATAGCTAATTCTTATGTTTATTTTTTTTTTGCGTTTAGCTTTTAAAATTATTATCTCAATGATAGCTTTGTACTTCCTAAATACAAGGCCTCCCTAAAGAGAATCTTAGCATCTCTGAGGATTACTTTAAACCAGTTAATATGACATGCATATATGTTTCTGTACTCATTAGCTTCTTCTCTCTTTCCTTTTAGTTCCCTCTGCCACCATTGTCATTCTTGCCCATGAGACCTGGTCTTCTTACTATCCCCCCAAATCACAAGTATCCAAAAGAGAGAAAGAAAAATCTTGATTCTTTCGAACCTAAGCTCTCTGAGCCTGTTAGTCGATCTGATGAGTTAAGGCCACCAAACAAGCAACTGGAAGCCTCATTCAAAGTGTTTGTGGATCAGACTCTCGGGTCCTCCAATAGCTCTATTTGGTCCAGAAACATGTGCTCTTTTTGGAAGACTAACCATCACAGGCAACACCTGAAGATGGAGGAGAATGGGAAATTGAAGGAAACAGAAGGATGTGACAAAATTCCAATCTCTCACTTTGAAAAAAGGCAGTCTTTGGTATCCTTTGAGAATTTGAAGGCAGGCAACTTTCCTGCAGACAGGGAAGTGGATATGGACTGGCCTGGCAGTGAAATGAGAAAAGCAGAAGAGAACTCTCAATGTCTTTCATCGGGGAAGATAGAGGGTTCCGTAGCCAGAAACTATGAACAAAATTCAGATGTTGAATGTAACATGCCAATCAAGTTCCAAAAAGCCCAGCATTCAGAAACAACTCTAAGCAAGGATAAAGGGACTAGAAATGATAAAGATGATTCAAAAAGCGCTTCAGTGCATAAAGGTGAACTAATTGAACCAAACCATATTTTAGAGGAATTTACTGTACTTAAAAGTTTGTACAATGTAATTCCTGACAGCCCCATTGAAAGGCTGCTGGAAGATCATAACAACATGGAGAAACATACAAAAATATCAATAGCAGAGGCAAGCAAATCAGGAATGAATGGGATAGTGCCTCTTATCCACATCACTTTCCCTGGAGATGAGACTCCCAAGGAACCAGCCATAGCCAAGCCAAGCCTCCAAAAAAGAAAGGGCGCCCTTCATAACAACAGCTTCAACATACGTGCACACCAAGAAAATGACAGGCGTACGATGAAAACCCATAGAAATAAGTTCGATCCAAAAACCAAGACCAGTAACAGGACACCTCAGAATGTCATGATTTCCATTGATGGTCCCATGAAGCCTACCATGCATAAAACCAGCATAAAGACTCAAGTTTTCCCTTCTTTGGGGCTTGTTGAGCCCAGACCTCGGCAATCACCCAAGTTTCAAAGGAGAATGCCTCAGATAGAAAAAAAGCAATCAACTTACTGGGCTCTGAAACCTAAAAAGCAAACATTTCCTTGCATCTGTAAAAATCCAGGAATAAAAAAGTCTTTAGCTCCTATCCCTGTTCAACCAATAGAGCCGAGACTAAATTACCTAGATCTTAAGTATAGTGATATGTTCAAAGAAATCAACTCAACTGCTAATGGACCTGGAATCTATGAAATGTTTGGGACCCCAGTTTATTGTCACATGAGAGAGGCTGAACGGCATGAAAATAAATATTACCGGGAGATATGCTCAGCTCCGTCAGGCAGATGTATCAACGGTAAATGTAGATCTTCACACGGTGAGAGGAGCGGCAATAGCAGAACAAGGTTTTCTCAGAAAAGACAACATGTTAAGCCCCCAAAGGCGTTGCTTGGAATTAAACACAGGCACAAAAGTTTAATTTCCAAAGAAAAGGGTTGCAAGGCTGTAGGTAGCAAACTACAAGACACTGAAGATGGTGGTGGTATTTCAGAGCCAGAGTGGCAGATGAAGTCTTTGGGAAATGACTTTCTGTCTTCCAAAGACGAAATTCAGCCCATGAACTTTACTCAGACTCATGAACAGTCCACTGAACAGAACAAATTCCTTCCTGTCTCAGATTTGTCCATTGTTGAAGAAGTCCCTATGGAAGAGTCCACCGATGAAGGAGACATTTCTAACAATCAAATTCTTCCCACAAGCCTCAGGGATCTGCATGAACTTGAAGAGCTACATCACCAGACCCCCTTTTTCCTTTCAGAATACAGCAGGGCAGGGCCCAGTGAGAAGAGTTTCAACAAACATGTACCACAAGAAAAGCAGAGCATAGCATCTCTTGGTAAAAATATTGCCAACCAAATCTTAACGAATGATGTAGAGTTTGACAGTTTGATAGATACACCTAAAACACGTACGAATCTCTCTTTCCAAGACACACAAGGAAGTGCATCTTCTCAAACATATCAACATTGGGCACATTCTTTGGATCATGATAGTTTAGCTAGTAAGTCAATTACACACCAAACATTTGAAAAAGCTTTAAATGATGCAAATTCAATTTCCCAAGAAATCCTCGACTCTATAAAGAGCCAAGAATTGACAGATGAACTATTAGGTTGTCTAGCTGAAAAACTACTAGCTCTTGATGAGAAAGATAACAACGCTTGTCAGATAGTGGCAGATGAAACAGATCCTGAAAACATAAATCTCATCTTCAATAGGAGAGGAAATACCATGCAAGAGTTCGGTGGAGAGACAACCAATGTCAAAATACAGGTTGGTATAATTAGAATCAATGATTTAATTGGGGTGGGAAAGGACCCTAGGGATAAACTGGTTCGAATCCCTTATTTTCAAACGAGGAATCAGAAAGTGTAAACAATTAAATAGTTTTGTCCAGGTCTCGTTGGTTGCAAGTTTGGAATCCAGGTCCTCTAACTCTCGGGCTAAATGTTTTTATTATGCTGCTTTACTTCTGGAATTTTGATAGCCCACACTACAATGGAAACATTTTGGGTATGTTAATACTATAACAAAACTACTTATTTAAATAGAGCAATGTTTTTATACAATGATTAAGTTTTTAATCAACAAATATCAGCAATGAGATAATTATGGGTAAAGCATTGCTCTCAGTGGTGTGCGAGTAGAAAGAAATTAATTTGGTGTGCTGAAGGCCTGGGGCGGGAGCAGGTGTGGGCTAAAAGGGGCCAATGGAGGAAAAAAAAAAAGGGACATCTGTAATACTTTCAACAATAAAGATAAATTTTTTAAATTAATAAAAAACATTTAAAAAAAAGAAATTAACATGGGCCCTGAAGTGGCTCACCATCTAGTTCACACTATATCAGGATCAGGAATAAATAGTTTAAATAGGCGATCAGAATACTAGGTAAATAATTATACCATAACTAGTTATTGAGAACTTACCATGTATGAGTGAGGGCATCATATTGCCACCTTTATATGCTTCGTAACAGCTCTATGAGATAAATACTAAAGGTACTAGCAAGTCCCCATGTTGCAGATGAGGAAACTGAAGTTTATTACCCAGTCAGTCAGTGGTGGGGCCAGGCATTCTGATTCCAGCCTCCCACGTTCAATCACTTAGTCACTGTGGAGATATTCCTTGTCCTGTAAGGCCAGCTCTGCCCTCATGGTGATCTTGGTGTCTGCTGGGAGGTAGATCGTGATTCAGAGAGGCCTTCAAGCTGGGGTAGGAAATGGGGGTATGTGGTGCTGGTGTGACTGAGATGGGTCTATCCCTCTGCCATTTCAAACGGAAAGAAACACTAACAAGCCAATAACTATAATCATTCAGAGCCCCACCTGGCAGTCCTAGAGTAAAACACTGACTTTCTGTGACCTTTTCTTTTTCACAAAGCCCTTAGCTTTCAATTTGGATAGAAAAATGTGAAAAGGTGGGAAGGAGGAACCCAAATGACCTTTTGGGGGCATGCATGCTCGTTTGGGAGGAAGGTGACCCTGCAGGTTGTCTTGTTCGTAAAGGCCCTTCACCATGCCTCGGCATCACCACCATCATTTATTTCTAAGGACTGGTAAAGAGAGCAAAACAAAGCATGTAGTCAGGATCAACCAACTGGAAAACATGATCTGAATTCTACAAAGAGATACTTGTTTCCTCCCTTCCAGGGCAGGGCCTCTCACAGTTTACTGTGAATGCAAATCTCTTGGGGATCATGTTAAAATGCAGACACTGATTCAGTGTGTCTGGGGCCTGAGATTCTGCCCGTCTAACAAGCACTCAGATGATGTTGATACAGCTGTCTGCAGATTCTCCCTTGAGTATCAAGGGTCAGGGCCATGCATCTTCAGTCTGTCGCACCCGATCTTGACTACTAGATTTGCTTGTTATGGTTGTGGGTGTGTGCATGAGAGAGTATCTTATCTGTATATATGTTTGTGTGTAAATGTAAATATGTGTATGCAAGTATATGCTTATGTCAACATGGGTGTGTTTGAGTGTGTATGTGTTGTGGAAATAAATGAAGAACAAAGGCTATTTTTTCAGGGCTCACTATAGCAAAGGAGTCGGCCACCATCACTTGCAGTTGGCAACAAGTCAAAAGTAGGCAGAGGAGTGGGAAAGTTTCATAGTGGAAAAAGGGAAGGCTTCAGGTATGACCTGATCGGAGGCTGTTGCCATGGGTTAAGTAGAAGGGGCATCCTATGTAATTAGTTAGGGGTGCATATTTGCCTTTTCCTAGCTAGCTGATCCTAAGTTAGAAGGAAGGAAGCCACCTCTTCTCTCCTCTTAGAGTTTAATGGTGACTTTTCTTTTTATCTCATTCTTCCAGAGACATAGTAATGGGTTCGGAATATATGACGAGGAGAAATTTCTCAATGACAAGAAAATATTTTCTGAAAATAGTTTAAAGTATGAAGAAGCCATCCTGTGGACCAAGGGTGAGATCCTTGGGAAGGGAGCCTACGGCACAGTAAGTTAAATGGGGAACAAGATGAAACCCCAAACCCCCACTCCTCCTTGACCCCTCCCTCTTCTTTAATACTCTGAGTGAGCCCTCCCCTCCCCACCCCACATCATACTCTTTTATTTAGAACTATTTCAGTTGGGAGTAACAGGAAACCCAAACAAACTGGCCTAGGGAAAAGGCGGTTCACTGCTTTATGTAACTAAAGGATCTCAAGTAGGTCTGGCTCCGGGCACAGGTGTTTCAGGGGTGAAACAATGTCCTCAGGATCTGGCCTCTCTAATCGCCTTCCAGCTCTCATTCTCGGGTTCCTTGTGCTTGTACAATGGCCATCACATTTCTAGCCTCTCCTTCTCCTAAGTTCAAGTCCAGTGGGAGAGAAATCTCCTTGTTCAGCAGCTCAGAGTATGTTACCAGAAGTGGGGAGAATCATTGCTGAGTGGAAGAAACAAAAGATGTTCCTTACATTTTGTGAATTGGAAAAAAAGATCACTTGAAGTCCTAGCAGTATTGATAGTATTTACATAGATTGGTAAAGAGAAGACTGTCCCCCAGATAACACATGTTGCGCTTCTAGCTGGAGACATTTGAGGAATCAGTGAAAAGGTAGGAAGACATGGCAGAGGTGACTGCTGAATTTTCTCAGTGCCAGGGCTGACCAGCAGACCCTGAGTGACGGATGAATGATTACTCTGATACACGTTTCTGTGAAAGAGAGGGCTAAGGGACTGCCTGGCTAGAGAAATCAAACAGCCCCGTTCACCTGTCTCCTTAGGCTTTTATTGTAACAGCTTGAACTAAAATTAACTTTTAGATACTATCAATAGGGTAAGCATCCTTGAGAAGACACAGGCATCTGCAGTGTCCTTTAAGCAAGGACGTCTAAAGACTAAGCATAAGGATTCCAGTAAACACCCGGGAGCTTGCACGTACACTTGTTTGGAAAGGTCAAGGCAGGGGCGGTTGCCTTCAGCTAACTCCCCCTGGAGGTTCCAACCTTTCGGAGTTTGCTCCTTACAGACTTTCCAACCAGGTCCCATGCTTCCTCATGCTTTAGCACTGAAATAGCCCTATTTTAGTTATTACACAAGGAGCTTTCCCAAACCACCATCTCAGTTAGTCATTGTAGATATCTGTGAGGTAAGAACTGTACCTCAGCTTTGTAGATGAGAAAAAACTGAAGTCACAGCTGTTATACAACTTACCCAAGTTACACCGCTGGGGATGGGTGAAGCCAGGATCTAATCAATACAGGCCACTTGTGATATGCACTCACCATGCTGCTCATCCCCATCTTAGCTCCACTGAAACACTGGTTATATTTAATCATAGGTATTGGTTTGCTTCTAGGTATATTGTGGTCTAACTAGCCAAGGAGAGCTAATAGCTGTAAAACAGGTGGCTTTGGATACCTCTGATAAATTATCTACTGAAAGAGAATACCGGAAACTGCAGGAAGAAGTGGATTTGCTCAAAGCGCTGAAACATGTCAACATTGTGGCCTACTTGGGGACATGCTTGGAAAAAAACACCGTGAGCATTTTCATGGAGTTTGTTCCTGGTGGTTCAATCTCTAGTATTATCAACCGTTTTGGGCCATTGCCTGAGATGGTGTTCTGTAAATACACAGAACAAATTCTGCAAGGTGTTGCTTATCTCCACGAGAACTGCGTGGTGCATCGAGATATCAAAGGAAATAATGTTATGCTCATGCCTACTGGAATAATAAAACTGATCGACTTTGGCTGTGCCAAACGTTTGGCCTGGGCTGGCGTAAATGGCACTCACAGTGACATGCTTAAGTCCATGCATGGGACTCCCTACTGGATGGCCCCAGAGGTCATCAATGAGTCTGGCTATGGGAGGAAGTCAGACATCTGGAGTGTGGGCTGCACTGTGTTTGAGATGGCCACAGGCAAGCCTCCGCTGGCATCCATGGACCGGGTGGCAGCCATGTTCTACATTGGCGCACACCGGGGACTGATGCCACCCTTACCTGAACACTTCTCAGAAAATGCAGCGGACTTTGTGCGCATGTGCCTAACCAGGTAAGGAACTGAAAGCAGGAGGAGGAAGATAAATGCCCAGAGATTTCAAGCAGCTCACATTTCCCCTGCAATATATGGCCCATTCGAACCTCCACTCGAATTATGAAATCAAGGAGCGATTTTGTACCAAAAGGAATCATCATTAGTCATTTTGGACGGCTGTGTGCCTTATTGTATCAGAGGAAGAGCCTCCTAGAAGGGGAGAGGTTTTTATTTCTAAATGATTATATCACTTTTTTCCCAAAGTATTTCATTTCCACCTGGGCTATTCTTAGTGGTCATTTGCTCCAAAACTTATCCAAAGACGCCAGTTTAACCAAAAGAATGCCTTGGAATAGGTCATTGCAGATAACTATTGGCTGGTTCATTCATTCATTGACTGGTTCATTGGCAAAGGCTTTTTGATTTCTTGAGGGGAAAAAACAAAAGCACAGTTGTACTAATTGAGCAACTGTCTCCCTTTACTTTATGCTCTTCCAAGAGTGCCCCAAATAGGATCATTTCAATTAATCACCAGCACATATTTAAATGTCTCCTTAACAGCCTTCGTTCTGGATTCCTGTGCCTTGAAATTTTAAAGATAAATGTAATGCTGGTTAAAAGTGCATTAAGCTTTTTTTAAAATTATAATTTTATTTGTGTATAAATTATACCCAAACAAACTGAACAAAACCACAATGTGAAAAATAGGACCCACTTTTAATCATAATAGCTACTGTTTTTTGAACAATTACTTATGTGCCAGACATTGTTTAACAGCTGTATATACATTATGTATTTCTCCCAACGAGTTAGGCATTACTGTTATTTCCATGTTACTGATGAGGAAAAAGTCTGAGTCACTTGCCTAAGATCACACAGCTGAAAACTGCAGACTGGGCTCAATCCATCTGTTTGACTGGCAGAGGTTGTACTTTCTTCTCAAAGTTGGCATTTTGAGTCAAGTCTCTCTGGTTGGCATGCACATTTTTGGATGTTGCTTCTAATGTGGTTTTCCTCTCCTAGGGACCAGCACGAGCGCCCCTCTGCTGTTCAGCTCCTGAAGCACTCCTTCTTGAAGAGAAGTTACTGACTACGCACCAACACTTTCTCTCCAGTTCCATTACAGAGCCGGTTATTGCTTCATTGTGGGATGATGTTAAAGGACCTTGGTTTTCCTACTGGAAAGTCAATCTAACCCAGTTAGATCCTACAGTGTCGCTACCTGAAAAGTTTGTTACACAGTCTCTCGAAGGTTCGGGCACGATTACTTATGTATATGAGAAAATTTTTTTAAAACAATAACAACCCCGCCGCCCCCACGTATTCCAGTGTTTACAGTTTTGACTATCCGGTAACTATAATCTCTATTGCTTATACAATATTTCCTTTTATTTTTGTCCTATTTTAATGTCATTAGTTTAAAATAAATTGTGAAAAAAAAATTGTACTTAATTGCTCAGTGGGTGGGTAGACACTTATTTAATTTTTACAAAAGAGACTTGAGGAAGGTGAGAGGTTAAAAGTAGAGAGACACTAGGCTGTGTTTATTTTGGGCTACAATCTTAACCTTGCAGGTGATGGGAGCATCATGGTTAACAGGAAGAGCTAAAGGCCTTAGTATTTCACTATCAGAGGGCCCCAAACTCCTCTGAAGTCTCCAACTACAAGAAGCGGGTTATACTAAGTGGCCTCATAAACCTCAGACTGCTTTTCCTATAACTTACAGTATGATTTGAGGTCTTCACTTATTTGTAGAGTGAATTAGGTCATTGCCACATGTAGAACTAGCCAAACCTAGCCCACGGGTGGGATAAAGCTAGACTGGGTAAGGGGAGAGGATCAGCATGTATAACTTCCAGGGCACCCTGGTCACTTCACTACAAGAACATCCCCACTTAGGCCACTCTCCACCTTCACATCCCAAACACTGATAAACCTCACCAAAATGAACAGGGACAAGTGTCAAAATTATTACAAGCCCTTGTTTTAAGTTGGTGGACTAAGCCTATTTGATAAGGTTTCTATAGCTGGATTTTTTTTTTTTAAACTGGCTATCATTTCAACATGTCACAACTACAAACTTGAGGTGCATTCTAACACCAGTTGTCAGATTGTTAAAGTTAAGCTGCTGCTTCAGGTTTTGAGAAATACATGTGAAATGAAGTCCAGCTGAGGTAAAACAGGTTTTACTTTGGTCAACATGCTTACATGGGTTTCTGTGAGTATACTTTCCTTCTTTCTCTCCAATTTGTACAGTTCTTTCTCATAGTTGAGAGGAATTTAAGGGATATGTTGTCTCTTATTTTACTTACAAGCATACCTCATTTTATTGAGATTTGCTCTATTGTATTTCACAGATGTGTTTGGTGTTTTCTTTTTCTTTTTCTTTTTACAAATTGAAGGCAAGCCCCTCCACCAGCAAAAGGTTTGCAACTTACTTTATTGCAGTGCTTTGGAACTGAATCTGTAATCTGAGTTATTCCTGTATTTGTGTATCTACATAACATGAAACATCATTTTATTTAAGTAGGGCTTACATTTAAAATTTTTAGTTGGGATCTTTAGTATGATTTAAAATCTGAGTGGTCTTACCTTATTTTGGAGCAATTATTTACGTTCAAGCCTATTAAACCTTATGGGGAAAGGGCAGGGAGTCAGATGTTTGTACTATGTATACAAATCACAGTAATGGACACGTGTCTTTGGTATTAACAAACCTATCCCTCTTTTATGGATATAGAATTCTGAAGTGTTGGAATATTAAACAGACCCTTCAAAACTTTAAAGTTTCGCCCTAGCTGGTCTGGCTTAGTGGATAAAGCATCAGCCTGTGGACTGAAGGGTCCCGGGTTCGATTCTGGCTAAGGGCATATGTCTGGTTGCGGGCTCGATCCCCAGTAAGGGGGTGCAGGAAGCAGCCAATCAATGATTCTCTCTCATCATTGTTTCTATCTCTCTCTCCTCCCTTCCTCTCTACAATCAATAAAATTATATATATTATATAACTTTAAAGTTTCAATAGGCCAGCCTTGGTCCTAAGAAGAGCTTTCTGTTGGTCAGTTAAGACATGAGATTGGAATTAGTTCTCATCATTGCCCAAGTGTTTGACACTTAGAGCTTCCTCAGTAGGGTCTGGAAGGAGACTGGGAGTGAAGATAGGTGGAGTTGGGAGGCCTAGCATTCATTGAGCTCTTATTAGAAAAATGCACATCATGTACTTCTGGCTGCTGTTTGGGTTGGTAGTTAGTAATTCCATTTTATTAGTGAACAGGGCTCAGAGCTACATGATCTTCTCAAGGTCATCCAACTGGCAGGTGGGTGTTGGGACTGCCACCCAGACTTGTCTGACTTTAGAGCGCTTTCCCTGCTGCCTCCCAGATGCATGGTTTAAAAATAAAATCAGTCACATCGTTAAATTTTACTCAAACAAAACTTCACTGGGATGCTGATAAATCCACCAGTCCTGTTAGTGGTTCTGATTACATTAATGGTGTGAAAAGCTTTTCACTTGGCAGTATTGCCTTCCCCTCTGACCACCTCCCCTTTTTACCAAGCACAATGCCCATTTTCACATTCAGAGGTGCATTTCATTATGGGGTGAATCTTCCTGCATGCTCTGGGCCCCAAGCTCAACCAAAGGAAATATAACTCCCCAAGTAAACTTCTAAAAGCAGTTCCAGTTCTATGGCCTTTGTGGCTATTTCTCAGTGGCTGAATTAGGAGTTGCCATAGTGGGAAAGAGTGATCTCAAGAGTATGGGACTGGGAACATGCTGTATTCCACTCAACTGCTCTATCGATCCTCCTGCGTGACCACTACACCAGCCCTGGGACTTCCAGTGTAATGAGTTGTTCTGAGATGAAAAACCCACTCAATCAGCTAATGAGCAGCCATAAGCCTCCATCACCTACTGGTTTGTCTTTATTCCTCATACTTGCTGCACTTGTGTTAATTCAAAGCAGCTACATAATGTAGAAACTTGCATTTAAAAAGGCTTTCCAGCTGGTATGTGAACTTGAAAGCACCCAGTGTTGGTAGTCTACATCTTCACTGGCTCTCAACAAAGTTAACAAGTCTTTGTGAATGGCATCAGTGTGAGGTGGGAACAGCAAACACTCAGAGCAAAAGCTCTATTACACTGTCCTATTGCCATGGCTGCCAAACTTGTGAAAAACCACGGCTGAAGTCATCCCTAAAGCAGTTGCTACTACAGGTTATGACTTCAAAGACTAAAAAAACTGAGTTCAGGTATATGTCTGGACATTTATAAGGTTTAAATAAGCCTCTTAATTTCATGGCAAAATGATAAAAACCCTAACTAGTGAGGTCCTCCATTGCTTTGAGAGGTGATGTTGCAGGGAGGGAATAGGCCGATCCATATAGTAGTTAAAACAAAACTGCACAATTTTAAAAAATGATATTGAAAACAGTAGAGGAACAATGAGGGAAGAAACAATGGAGTAGGATGTATCACTAAATGGAATTACTAAGTCTGATTAACTGGAATTATTGACTTTATAACATTTCTAAATAAAACTCATGTAATTTATTTTAAGCCAACAATAACACCTTATTGGTGTTATCAACACAAGATGAAGACAAACCTTTTAATGTGATTTCAAAACATTTCAATTTGGGCTTCAAATGCATTTTGGAGGAAGTAGCTTTTCTACCCTAGTTCTGTATTATTAAAGCCATGCAAGGCTTCCATTTTTTTCAGGTGGAAGGTGCAGGAAATCAGTGGAGATGGGAGGGTGGGGGAGGGGGTTGGAGAAGAGCAGCAATATTAAAGTAGTTTAATTAGATTTTTATGGTTAATCCCCCTTCCATATAATTGCAACTACTTACTCTTTGGTTTTTGTGGAGGTGACGAAAGAGGTTAAACAAAAAAATCCCAAAGTATGAATTAGAGTGAACAACCCGAGTTCTGTAAACGGGAGGCATGCAGTGCTTAAGCACATGTTGAAGTTTATGCACCTAGATTGGCCTTCACCATTCTCCCTAAAACCCAAAACATATACCTCTCTATTAGGATGCTCTTCCATATCATCTGTTCTTTTTAGCTCTTCCCATCACCCACACCTTAAACCTTATACCCTATGATAGGTACTATCACCAGCATGTTGTAGGGAAGAAAGTGGTGGAGCCGAGATTGGAATGCGGACAGTCTGATCCCAGAGACCATACTCCTTGATGGTATTGAAGTTACTCAGAGGAAGTTATAGTAGGAGACCTATTTCCCACATTTCCCAGGGACTGAAACTTATTTCTGATTCACATTAACAAGACATATTAGAGCCTTGGATTTATGTTGTGAATACACAAATTTTATTAATTCCTTATAATAGATACTGAGCTGAAATTCAATGACTAATTGAATTCATGCCGTATACACATATTCCTGTTTTGGATTTTCTATCAGCAAACATCTCATTCAATAGTTCTTGGGGGATTCAGAAAATGAAACCCCATTATTGACAACAAAATGAGTACATGTGAAGTTTTTCAAACCTAGTGAAACTGCTTGAAAATAATAACGTACTCATTAACAATAGGCAAATCAAATTAAACCAACAACTGAACAGGTTTAAGTGAGGCTTCCCTCAAAAACTTAGAAGAGAAATTAGTCTTCAGAATTTACTTTTGAGACTGATGGATCACAGTGAACAAGTCACCTTTATAAGAAAAAAATTGTTCCTAGCCACACAACCTTCAATGTACCTTGTGTACCAACCTAAGAACAGTTAGGCAGAACAGATACTGTTAAATTACATAGGCCACAAAAAGGGCCACAGGCGCAAAAGCTAGCTCTGCACAACTCTACATTGTGGAAAAATGAATGCATGGCATCAGACTGAAAACACTTTGAGCATCCCAGACCCACTGGCTGTAAAGATGTTTCAGAGGCAAACTTCTTTTACAAAATAAGCAACATGTCAGCTTACACTGATCAAATTTCAGATATTAACATACCTGAATTTTAAATTCTCAAATGAACACATTTGTATAGTAAATTGGCACCCTGGGCAGCCAGGGACAGAATGTGCTGCTTTTCTAATGTAAAAATGCCTGTCTAAATCAGCCCATTATAAACAAACGAATTCGTGCACGGGTGGGGTCCCTTGGCCTGGCCGGCAACTGGGGCCGATCAGGGCTGTCTAGTCCAGTCTGGGGCGGGGTAGGGACCACGAGAGGTTGGCTGGCTGCAGGATGTTGGCGGTGGGAGCACACTGACCCCTGGGGGCAGCTCCTGCATTGAGTGTCTGCCCCCTGGTGGTCAGTGCGCATCACCAGCCGGTCGATCGGGTCGACCAGTTGTAATGGTCACTTAGGCTTTTATATATATGATGGGCACATGAGACAGCAAGATGCCTACAATTACCTAGCAATTTAGGCATGGTACTAGGTGAGAAACAATCACTTTCTATTTAGATAAAATTTGGGAAGAGTGAGATTTCTTGACAATACAACCTTCTTCCTTTACAGATAATATACCATGTTAAAAAAGTCCTCACTTATTTCCAAAGCCCTAAAATATCTCAACCAAGGGTACTTAAAGAGTACATAACACTCATTCACTGTTTATTTCTAAGGTTGGTTAAAGGATAAAAATCAGCAATTTTAACTGATCAAATATAACAAAAATGTGCTTTAAATGCTTTTAAGGCAAGGCATTCAATAACAAAAAAACACTTTAAATTGGTTATCTAAAATAGACCTCAACTAGTCATTTCTTTAGTTCTAAGGGGATAGACAGGCCAAAATTAAGGTATCCAACTGACAAGAGGAAAATTCTGATGTCCTATCCCAAATTAAATTACATCAGGCTGGAGGGTGGGAGAGAGAGGAAATAAATCAGTTAACAGAGCCTAGGAATGAAACCAACAAGATTGTTCATATTCCTGAACGTATGTTGAAACTGGGAATTAACTTCCAGGTTCCTATGATCTAGAGAACAGCCATCATCAGATGATGCCTCATCCAGTTTACACATGAATATTCCAAACTGTTGCCCACAACCAATACAAAAGCATCAAATACCTTTCCTTTACAGCCTATCCTAGAATGGTCCCCGTTTCACCTTTTATCTAGAGCCAATGTGAATTCTTTCATAACCTCTTACACTTTTCTTCCCCAAACTCATTGTATGAAAGAGCCCCACTCACCCCAGAATGGTGGCTGAGACTGTACGCCCCAGGACCTGACCCTTACTCTGGCTAGCCCTTTTTTTCAGAAAACCTTTCAGTTTTGAAGATTTCTAAGAGTACAAAGTAATGTAAACACCCCTCATGAAATTCTGTATGAAATCAGGTATCACGGTAGAAATTTTCTTGGACTCTTATGAACTCTAATCAAAATGAATAGCAGGCTCATAGGAAGAGCCAGATGCATCTATAAATACACTCAAAGATAAAAATTAGGGATGATTTATATGACTTTTCAGTATTTAAAAACCTGCAATAAGAAAGGAACCTCAGATTTAAACAAGAAAAAATAACTAGGATTTTTGCAAGGTCTTACCAATAAAGACTACTGCCAGTTTTGTAAAGTAGGCCTCCAGGAAAATTTCTGTGAAAAGATATTCCTTTGTTTTGGTTCTAAAATACTGTGTTTTAAAGTTGCTAAGGCAAATATTAGGGGGCACAGCTCAATGTTGGAAAGTTGGTTGAAAGAGGTAGAAGTAAAGCCTTTGTATGCAGTGTGCTTCTGCATAAAGGTAACAACCTATGACCTGGGGAGAACACAACTAAAAAATGAATCACTCTTTTATACGCTGTTAAAAGATAATGCTTTTTAATATTTCAAATAGTTTTAAAAATCTCATCAAAAATGTTTC